GAACACAGCATAAATCCATATAGAGTCAGACTTTATCGAATATCGGCAAAAAAGTCAATATCGAGCATCGCTAGTTAATATCGTACGTAAAGACTTGGAGTGTAACCAAACATGGTTAACATTGATACATGGATTATGTGATCCATGATCCAAATGCAAAAATCAATATAACTATCAATCAAATTCACTTTAAAATAGAAACTTTGAAGTTCAGCTGACACGCCGTTTTCCACCTGTTCCTGCTCATCACCGAGCGTGTTAATGAAGGTGCTAGGTGGTCAGAGCGAGCAGTGAGAGAACAGTCAGTGAAGACATTCTCTCCCCAGAGAGAGAGCTTGTATTCAGTCACTTGTATTGCCGTTTCAAATCGATCGGGGGATCTAAATCCAAAGAAATCAAAATGGTACTGTGACTAAATTTGAGATATCGGCAAACACCAAATCACTGTGTCGACAAAATATTGTATTGTGATCGAACAAGTGATTTACGCCTCTAATGTGGACAACAGGTCAAATATTTAGAGCCCAAATTTGGACGCAAAAAACTAGCATGTTCTCATTGCAACTTGCTAGTAACATTAGCATGTTAGCCTCTTCTTCCCTACATGCGTGGGTTTTCTCCTGGTATTATAATTTTTTTGAATAAATGACTTAAGTACCTCTATCAGGTTTTGTATAAAAGAAAAACAAGTCAAAATAGCCCAAAGTCAATACCAAAGCTGTTTCAAACAAACGCCTTTCCCAAACTGTCTGTTCTTTCTCTCCGTTGTAGCTCTGGTTTTAAGCCCGCCCCACTAGCATAGTGTATTCCGATTGGTCAGACACAAATCTTTATGGGCCAATGCTGGACCTGCTACTAGACTGAGCTGTGGAGCAAAGTATTTTGCTAACTTATGGTTAGTCTAGATTTCTAGGCTAGTTTTGTGTCCCAATGAACAAAAACATGCATGTTGGGTTGGAATGCACCGATATGTCATTTTTGGGCCGATAACGATATCCGATATTAACATCACTGTTATGGCCGATAACCAATGTTTGCCGACACTGATATACTGACATTAATGCTTCTAAAAGCAGCAGATGTTGTATAGAATTAAAATGATTAAAGCATAATTTACTTTATGTACACACACCTCACACTTTTATGATTTTGAGATGATTACAATCACTGTCACATGACTAAATGAATACACACCACCTCCATCACACTCTGAAACAGATAAACAAATGGAAACAAGATGGAAAAAATATTGCTTGTTAATATCGGCCCAGTTTTATATATCAGACCAGTACCGATACATTAAAAAATGACTAACATCTGCCGATACCAATATTGACGCCGATAAATTGTGCATCCCTAATGTTGGGTTAATTAGAGATGGTCAGTTATCCCTATGATTGAGAGCATGTCCAGTGTGTCACTGTGATGGACTGGAGACCTGTCCAGGGTGTCCCCCACCTCTAGCCTACTGGAGATAGACACCTGCTACGATCATTCCTACTGAGGATTAAACGATACAGACGATGAACTCGTGAAGAGAGAAAGGTGGATTTGATTTAAACATTAAGTTCTCCATATTTTAAATATAGCACAGGTCCAATCATCCAATCAACATTTCTTCTCTTTTTTTAAATTTTGACAAATAAGTTCTGCAGTTTGAGGAAAGCAGGGGGCCACTTCAAGGGATTTATCTCTGAAAAATTTAGCCCCTTAAAATGTGCTGCATGTCCGTGTTTGGTGGCATTTGGTCCTCTTCCTGTAGCTCTCTCATACTGCTGAGCTGTGGATGTCCATTAGAACTTAATAAGATTTGTGCTCCGATCTGAATCATTCATGTTCCTCCGGTGTCCGTACTGCTGCCAGACTATTTTCTTATGTCGTAGCTGGATCTAGGTTGCAGAGGGATGTGGAATTGCTTTGTCATTTAGTCGCTATGTGGCTGACCAGATGTGCTCCTTCCTTTTATGTCACTTCCCATAAACTAGGCAATCAGTCAGGTTCTTTGGACTCTGCAGATACTTATGTGACTTAACCACAGATTAATCTGACTCCTCTGTGGGCCTCGCCCGCTGAAACTCTGAGAACATCACGTTTTTTATGCTACAGGTTAGGACTGATGTTCATTCATCTCCACCTTTTTCTTCTTCTCTGTTCAAATAAAAGCTAACATGCAAGTCACGAACGGATTAGCTTGTACTAATCAGATTTACAAAACCAATTTAAGTAGCACTATATTCTGTTTTCCGCATGGTTAACAATGTGACAAAGAAAAGATTGTTTTCGTCTAAACACCAAGCCCATAAGATTCACCGCCTGCTGCTCTTTCTCTCTTATCTCGCCTCCATTAATTGCTCATCAGGAGGGAAAATTTGGTTTTAATCATTTGCCAGTTTAGACAATCTGAAGTTCATTAGAGTATTAGGGCCGGTGGTGTCTCTACACAAACCAAATAACTTGCCCAAAAAATACAATGTGAGTGTTCTTTGTTTACTTACGCACAAACATGTTTTTTGAGCCAAACATGACTCGGAGATGCACTTTTGGATTATAATTAGGATAAATCTCTGCTTTTTATTACCTTGCGTTGTTGTTTACAAAGTAGCATGTGTCCACACAAGAACAATATTAGTTAGGGACTTTTAACTAATAAATCACAAGGAAATAAAGCACTGATATTAATCACTGTGGGCATGTTAAACACAGGTCTTAAGACTATGGTGGGCACTTAATGCACTGTGATTTATTATCGTGATTCTTCAGTTAAACAATGTTGATTATTTATTTCTTCATCAAGTTGACGCAGTGATAGCTTGATCTTGTTCTATTGTTGTTGTGTCCCTTTTTTTGCCCTTTTGCTTTTTTTTGTCTTTTTCTGCAGGTCTAGAAACAGACTCTTGTTCATTATTGTTTATTTTTGTGGACCCCCCCCCCCCCCCCACACACACACACACACACACCTTTTCTTTTCCTTTCTCTTTCACCTCTGTCTCCATGTCTGGTCGGAATTACAAAGCATTCAAAAACAACAACAATAAAGTTTTAAGTATCAGGCGTGACATTAAAAGCAAACGCTTTGATGCTCCACCTGAGAGTAAATCTGTAAGGCTTGTTACCAGCATTCAGACATCAATTCTGCTTGCTTCACAGCCAGACAGGACACGATAAAAAAAAAGAATAAATAAATAAAAGTTACAGTAGGTTGTCTTTTTAAAGGTATAATATGCACAAACCTTTCTGTGAAAAGCCACAAAACAGTGTAAGGACTCCATCACGACAGAGAAAAGGTTACACAGAAATGGATTCCCTTCTCCTTTCACTGGGGATTGCCAGGTTTTCTCCTTCTAGAAAGGCAGAGGAGGGACTTCTTCCATGGTTCCAGAGCCAATCATATGTGAGCAATGTCTGCATGAGCATTCGTAATCCGACACCGATTGGCAGAAAGTATGAGTGTTCTGGCAAAAAATGGAAGCCAGTAAACAGGAGTTGCCCAGAAGCTATTCCTTATATCCCTAAGAAGCCACAGCATCTTTTTAGTTTATTCAGATATCGGGTAAAGAATGCTATAAGCTAACGTTGACCTAGCAATGCTAACATGAATTACAATCAATCAATCAATCAAATCAAAGATACTTTATTAATCCCAGAGGGAAATCAGAGTAATCAAATAGTCGGCTCTAAAAACATCTGAAGCTACGTTTTCAATTACCAAAAACTCAGTATTACAGTGAAATGCATTTATGATGAATGGCCTGTATTTTATTTGACACCTTCTAGAGCTCTAGAGCCCCCGCAAGGGGCTTTACAACACCCACACACACATACTTTTACACATTGGTGGTGATGAGTTACACCTGCCCTGGGGTGCACTGACAAAAGCTAGTTTGCTGTACAATAGCGCCACCTCCACCACCAAGTGCCTTGCCCAAGGACTGCGACAGACAAGGCTTTGCTCATCATAGAATCTTCTAACTGGCAACTGCTCTAAGCGGATTTGTTTGTTTTGAAACATAGACTGCAGTACCCAAATTTGACCACTTGATGGTAGTCTTTCTTCATGCACCTTTAAAGCAATATATCATAATGTCAACGCTGATATTTGCCTTAAAATGGAAGCATTTTTCTGGTCATATGCCACATTTGATGTACAACAAACTTATTATCAGAATTTTGTTGGACTGCGACAAATTGAGAACAGAAATCCATAAATGTTCCTGATGTGAGTCAGCCGTTGTGACTTTGGACTTGCTGGACAAATTCCTCTAATTGTCCACAGGATTTGTAGGCACCTGGAACGCTTCCCATTTTAGTTCCTGCAAATCAGAAAAAGTGCAAGAAATGCAAGACAAATTTGGATTCTTACAAAATGACATAAAAACATTTTGCATGAGTAGCCTGTGTAAGCTGACTATGTTTAAAAGTGAGAAACAAAGTGTCTTACACAGCAAATCAGTTTGATTCCAACTGAAAACATGCATATTGCCTTTGTCACAATGGTCACAGCTCCAGGAAATGTTTCACATTTTTAGCATGACTGAAGATATATTATTATTATTATAAATAATTTAAAAAATGCATCTTTTAATATTATTTTCAGGTGATACGAATAAAGTTTGTTGATTTTGAGTAAACACAAATTTTCTCAGTTTTTGCAAACCAACTCTTCTAAAATCGTCTGACTCCTGCAGCTTTCTGCAGGGATATCAGGTTTAATTTGTTTTCCCCGTCCTTAGTTTGGGCCTTTTTGCCTTATTTAGAGTGTCTAAGCAAAACGAAAAATCCTTTATTTTCTTAAGGGACATTGGAAATGTTTTTAATAAGAACATTTACTTGCTTCTAGCAACACTGTTGTAATGAAATTGGATGTGGATCAAAGTGTCTTAATATCTGTCTTAGGCTGCAGGTGCCAACATGCTAGAGCCACACAGGCAGCTCGCTGAAGTTAAAAGCATTTTCTATTTTTTACCTTTTTCACACCTCTCCTCTTTCTCTCTGCCTTCCAGTGGTTGTGTTATATGTGCAGGCTGTGGGAACCAAAGAGTGGAGAGAGGTAAGTTGAGCAATCTTCTGTAGACAATATTATGTAATTTTTCCCTGACCTTTTTTAAACCATTTTTAAATAATCTCTCTGTATAAATTATATTAAAGATTCTGCTGAGATTAAATCCACAAGGAAACTTCATTATGTAAATTGAAAACTCCACATACTTGAATCAAATGAGTAAATTCAGAGCAGAGGGTCAAGAATAAATAAGTAAAAGGGTCCTTATAATTTGATGATGTCAGGTAAATTGAATTTTATCTTGATTTAAAGAAGAAAAAAAGCTCTTAAAAGGGGTTTTTGATATTCTTTTGAATGTTTTGTCCTTCAACATCATCTTCTCTCTTTTTCATGGTTTTATATCTCATTTTTCTACCCTAATATTGACTGATTTGCACAAAGACATGTGAAATTAAGTCCCTTTGTTTTGACAAATAAGCCATAATATGTCATTTCAGGCTTTGCTGCTCTTCCTCACACCTTTCTGTTCCATGTTGCGGGTTTTAATCACAAACACAATGTGAACTGTGCTGCAATTAACGAAGCAAACAAGCTGCCACCTGCCACATATGGGCCTGTATGGAAACATGGCTAAAACCTCATTGACTTCATAGGACGAACACTTGGTCTAAGATTCCTTAGTTTACATTAATTGACATTCATCAGTTCTTTTTAATACAATTTAAATAAATCGGTCCATGAATCGGAACAAGATATTTCATTTGATTTGTTTAGACTGATTTTAAATTGATCTTTTGAAGGTTTCAGTTGTTACTTTTTATTAAATAAATGAACAATAAGCTCCTCCAACAGCTAAACCTAAACTAACCGTTGCCACCTGTCAAAACGTGTCTTTAAAAATCCCGAACATCATTTGTTGCATGGCTCATGTCAAACACGATCAGAAAATAACGTACCGGATGGACCTGACTTAGGCTCCCCATTGCCTTGTAGCTCTATTGGACAAGTACTGTTTTTTATATGTTCCTGCTCAGACACACACACCTCTTTGTAACTGCAGAATTATTTCCTCAGTTTTCTACAGGAGCTATTTTTGTTTGAAAATGTGGTCAGAGTATCTAATCTGTGCTAACCCAGTTATTTGCTCTTCTGTTTTTGGTAGAAGAAGTGATACCAGATCACGGTCTCACTGAACAAGTTTAGGTTTTCACTCACAGACTCAAAATCATACAGCTCAAAATCCCCATGGTCTTTCGTCATACCGACATCTTCTGCAAGAGACCCTATAGGTCAGGACTATCCAAATACCACTGAATCATGTGTGTTGGGGCAGAGAAACCACTAAAACTTGCTGGATACCGGCCCTTGAGGCCTGGAATCGCATCGCCCTGCTGTAGGAGGACTGCTCTCCTCTTCAAAATAATTATCTTGTTACGTGAAGATGTCTCACCTCACATCCAAAAGGATTTTCCTCTTTCAAACCAACTGTCTGTATTCCATCTAAAGACTGTTCCTTGTCTTTGAGATGCCGATGGACGGTGGAGTCTGGACCTGATGGGCTGACTCTTTTGTGTCTTCTGCTTGAGCAGCTGCGGTTTGGTTTCAGAACATTCCTTCATGCAGCGAATTGCAGATCAAATGCTGGATCTCAATTCGTGTTTGGGAGTTCTGTCCTCAGGAAGAACTGGCTTTTGTCTTAGAGTGTTGTTGAGTTTAGGATTTATATCATGCTTGGATTAAATCCTTTCTCAAAATGTCCAGATGTGTGTGGAATGCCAACATTCTTCCATCCCATTTCTCGATTTTCAATTTCCTGAATGCCTGAAAACAAATGAACCCTCTGGAGGCAGGCGTTGCAGATTTGCAACGTTAAAACCTACCTACCTGGTTACTCCACGTACGGATTTCATGAGCATTTTCAACTCAGAAGTACCCCTGAAGGACTTGGTTGTTCGTCCTTTTATCAAAACTTGTTTTGAGCCTGAGAGGGTGAAGTTAGAGCAACCAAAAGATTTGATGTTCTTCTTTTGGTACCATCTGTTTCCCCCCCTTCTGTCCTTGTTGGGACCCCTTCAATTTGATACTCTACAGTTCTGATGAGTGACAGTTTGTTATATTTGGTGGTTGTCCACTGAAATTAGGCCCTTTTCCACTGGTGCCTATTCAGCGCAGCTCAACACAATCTGGAGGGTTTTCATTTGAATAGAGAAATGGATGGGTGGGCTGCTCCTCCACATCGAGAGGAGCTAGTTGAAGTGGCTCGGGCATCTGGTCAGGATGCCTACTGGACACCTCCCTGGTGAGGTTTTCCGGGCATGTCCAACCGGGAGGAGGCCTAAAGGAAGACCCAGGACATGTTGGGGGGATGTCTCTCAGCTGGCCTGGGAACGTCTTGGGATTCCCCCGGAAGAGCTGGCCGAAGTGGCTAGGGAGAGGGAAGCTGGGCCTCTTGACTTGGACGGACGGACGGATGGACGGACGGATGGATGGATGGATGGATGGATGGATGGATGGACGGATGGATGGATGGATAGTTTATTGGAGTAATCTTGGGTGCTTTTCTTTTTGAGGAGAGCATGGTCACTTCCTCCACCAAACAGGATTTAGTGAATTTTAAAACATGACGTTTTACAACATGTGTTGCAATGAAATCACATCTTCATCTTCAGTTGAACAGGACTTAATATAACATTTAGAACCTGCAAATCTTTACACACATCCTAACTAATGTTGGTTTACTGAAGTACAGGGAAAAAGATGAAGTGGGGAGAATGGAATATTGTGGAAAAAATATTCTCTCACCTGTCATTTTATTATATTTTACCTCCAAGAAGCCAAAGTTTCTTTAAGTCTATGAATGTAGTCTTGCTCAGTAATGGATCTCCAGACTTCACCAGCCAGTATATTTATTTATTTATTTTAGCTTTTCTTTTAAACATGGGCTTCATTTTCAAACTATTTTCAGAGGAATGGTTTGCTTTTCCATTTTTTTGCTCGTTAATCCACTTAAGGTTGACCTAAAAATCATTCAGGCATAAAAACGTCGTCTAACTTAAAGGGATGAAGCAGCACTGTGTCGACACATAACAGTTTAGCATTTTTAAATTGGATCTCTAGGCTCTGTGTTACAAGCAGCCTGTCACAAAGACACAATTTGTTCTTATTTCTTTAACTAAATACATCAGTTGGACATAAAATAGTATTTAATGCCAACAAGGCAATCCCCGAGGAGCTATTAGCAGAAAACCTGACAGAAGGAAGATGCATCTGCCAGGTCCTGTGTCAGGTCTTTGCAGGATATTTTTCCTTTTTTCCTTCCCCATTCAAAAACCCGTAGATCCTCTGAAATTTCATCTTTGGTCCTCCACTTGTCAAGTTTCTCTCTAGTTTTCTAGGCATATACTGCACAGTTTGCTGTCACGGTCAAGTACAGCGACAGGGAAAGCAGAAGAAGCAGTCAAAGTTTGAAAAAACTCTTCAGAAAACTGGATGAAAAAACTTGAAAAATCACAAGGAAGCTTCTCTCCTTGGAAGAACGCTCTAAAGGAATCAGGCGCGTTTTAAGACTTTTGTGCAGTACTGAAAAATATAATAAAACTCATAATACACTCACTTAATATGCACAACTCATGAATCTAACATTTTTATCAACATCCTAGAACACTGGTGTCCAACCCAGGACCTCGAGGGCCCCTAACCAGCGTGTGTGAGCCTGTTTGTTCAATAATACATCTGAATCAGCCCCTAAATTATTTTTCAGAATGCCCTCAAGTTTTGTAGAAGTAATTTATTCAAATCCTGAGTGTTAGTGCAAGGGAACATCTGCAGGATAGTGGCCCTCGAGGGCAACGACAACCCCAGTAACAATATGTTCCCTAACCTCCACCTGCAACACCCTAGCACCTATTAACCAATCATGCCACTAAAATTAGAAAGGCCTTTAATGCCAAAAATAGAAAAACGAGGAAAAAATACCACGGGATTTTCCTGCCGGGTCGATATGGCGGGTATTTCTCAAGCCCAATACACTGGGCCTTGGTAATAGATAGGCTGGGGACACAATTGATAGCATGGATTATGTGTGCTGGCCTCTGAAGACACGAGTCAAGGTATTGAGGCTGTGCTGAGGCAGTGCCAGAGTCAATTGCTCATTACACGGTGCTGTTGGGCCACACCACGGAGGCAAGGCCAGCAGTTCACTGGGTTGGATTACAGGTGTGATTGTCTGGGTGATAGAGAGAGAAGCTCTGGCTGAGGAGAGGAGGTGGGAGTGGGCAGTGATGGGTACACAGGGGAGATTTTGATGGCTCTGATGTACCAATCAGATTTCTCTAGAGAAGGATGGTTTAACATCCCTGCATGAGGCAGTGTGGTCACATTTTATGAAACTTATATCACAAAGGGTCGTTAGCAAGTGATTTATTTCAATTTTGGGTTATTTTTTATTGTCTTGCAGACCAAGTTCACATACAAAACAGTGCTCTATCCCTGTTTCCCGCATTAGCTTCTGATAGACGATAGACGGAAACACGCTCGGTTTAAATAATCCCGACAGCTCTACGTCACGCTGTCACTCATCATTCATGGACTCATCCATGTTGGAAGAAGCTAACCATTAGCATTATCAACTCCACCACTTCTCCAGGCTTGTGTTACTTGTGGAAATAAAACATCAATGTTGCAGAGAAATCAATCAGTGGCAGAGTTAGCCAATCAGAGGAGAGATGTCCAAATATCAGGAAATAAGAATCCAAATCCTGCCGTCTGCTGCTTTCTCCTCCAGCTGACTTTTATATCCTCAAACGGGCACATCTGAGCTTTTTTCTCCAGTGTACAATTCATAAGCCACTTATTCCTATTAGAGACCACTGCGAGTGTACTCAAAACATGAGTTAACTTGACTTCTAAACCTCCAAAAAAAGAAATAATTGGACATTCATCCACAACAGGTTACATTTTAACTATAATTCATGCAGGTTTTTGTGATACTGTTTTGGATTTCTTTATTTTTGACAGTTTGGCAGGACAGAGGTCATCGATAACACTCGTAATCCAGACTTTGTGCGGAAATTTGTCCTGGATTTCTTCTTTGAGGAGAAACAGAATTTACGGTTTGATGTGTGAGTATCTTTAACGTATTTTCTGCCTACGCTCTGAGTATAATTCATTATGTTGTAGTTGTTACTGTGAAACAATAATAATGAATACATAATCCAGCTGCTGATGCACTGTTTGTTGCCTCTGAGTGTCCTTGAGCGTTAGAGTTGTTTGTTGCAGGTACAATGTGGACTCCAGAAGCTGTAACATATCCAAACACGTAAGTACTTTCTTGTCAAGTGAGATTTGACTCAGTGATAACAATTTTTAGTAACCTTTGAATGATTCACTGTAGTAAAGGAGATCTTTGTGATTCAGCTTGAATGAAATTGGTTCAGGATTTCCAATCGTGATGTTTTTGTTATTCTTTTCATCCCAAACCAAACTAAATCTCCGGGGGAGCAGAAGGTGAGTGCGTTCACGTTCCGATTTTCCACACCATGACTCATCGTATTACTCTATCTCTATTTCATGTTTTCATCTCTAGATGACACTTGTGATTTTTGTGATTTTTATTGTGTTTTCTCCCATTCTTCCATCCTATTTGTCTAATCATGGACAAGCACAAGCACCTGGGAAGCTTCCCCTTCACTGTGTTGTACCACATTTGTCTGTCTGCATTGTCTCATAGCCTCAGGTAAAAAAAAGCAACTTCCAGAACCCCGCTTCAAAGCAAACACAGCTTTTGTTGTTTCAATCCAAAATGCGGATCGTGCATGTCAGGTCATTTCCAGAAGCCACACACATCATCCGTTTACAGGATTCACACCTACAGTAGGCCTGCTGCCCACACACCACAAGCATCATCTCTTATTGATGTGCTTTCTGTTTTATCACGCTACGTCAACTCAGCTTTTCATGCGGCCACGTGTTTTTCTTCTGTGGTGTTTTTGTAAGGTTAATACCTCCGCTTTAATGAAAATGAAGCTTTTCCTCTCACTCTGAAGGGCATGTCCTCTAGTAGCAGAATCTGTTAACAAGCAGCAGAATTATGCAGCTTTCCGGTGGCATCTGAAACTCCACCTTGGGTTAATGCGTGCCTACATCCAAGTGATGGAGTTAAACTGTAAAGTTAATGCTTAATTTAAAATCGCCATTCAATGAGATGAGATTGAACTTTAATGACTTCAGTATCTCTGACTCCATCCACAGCAATTTTACACCTGTTTGTAATTACTGTTGACCATCTTATCTTTAGTGTGTGGTATTATTGGGTGGGTTATGTCGTCTAACAGTAGCTTATTACAGTATTAAATAATTTATTACAGTCTGCTGGTCATTTAGACATTGTAATAATAATTAGGTTAATATATACACTGTCAGAAGGCGAAGCTCTCGATTTACCAGTCGATCTACGTTCCTACCCTCACCTATGGTCAATGAGTTTTCTCCAAAGAGAGGCTGGGCTCTCCCGAAAGGGTGAGAAGCTCGGTCATTCAGGAGGGGCTCGGAGTAGACCCGCTGCTCCTCCACATCGAGAGGAGCCAGTTGAGGTGGCTCGGGCATCTGGTCAGGATGCCGCCTGGACACCTCCCGGGTGAGGTTTTCTGGGCACGTTCAACCGGGAGGAGACCTAAAGGGAGACCCAGGAAGTGGTGGAGGGACTACGTCTCTCACCTGGCCAGGGAACACCTTGGGATTTCCCCGGAGGAGCTGGCCCAAGTGGCTGGGGAGAGGGAAGTCTGGGCCTCTCAACTTAGGCTACTGCCCCCGCGACCCGACTCCGGATAAGCTGCATGGTGGCACAGTGGTTAGCACTGTTGCCTCGCAGCACGAAGGTTGCAGGTTCAAAACTCAGCTGCGGCCTTCCTGCGTGGAGAGTTGCGTGTTCTCCCCATGCATGCGTGGGTTTCCTCCGGGTACTCCGGTTTCCCCCACAGATCACAACATGCCCTATAGGTTATAAATTGTAAGTCGCTTTGGATAAAAGCGTCTGCCAAATAAATAAACATAACATAAACATAAGTGAATGAAAATGGATGGATGGATATACACTATGAATACATACATAAATAATGTTATTATAATATATATGTGTGGATTTCCCAGCCTTACCACGCATTTAAGGTCCTTTTTTTCATCTTTCCTACCTTCTAGGACTTTCTGGGCCAGACCTTCTGTACTCTTGGAGAGATAATTGGCTCTGCAGGAGGACGGCTGGAGAGGACCCTCTCGTAAGTCCCTAACATCCCTTCTGTTGTCCCAGTGTGCAAATTCTGGCACTCTCGTTTTTTTCTTTTCTTTTTGGTTCTGGTGATTTTTGTTCGCTTATTTTAGCAGAAATGATGCACACAAATGATCCCCTCAGCCAGACAGAATGAAACAAATTCCCTCCCTACCTGTAATTTGTGCTATATTTATCGTAGGCTGCTGTGAGAAACAATGAAATGAAAGCCATTTAACCAAATCTGTGAGTGTAGATTCACCAAGTTTAAACGTCCTCATCTATTATAATAGATCAGAGGAAGTGAGCCCTGACCAGTCTGCTGCATCACAACAAATTGAGCTGCTTTTCCTCTCTGAGCCTTTATTCTGGTAAACCAAAGTGTGATAAGCCGGTAATTACTGTAGACAGCTTACTTCAGCTTACCACTGTATGTTATTTTTGGTGATTAGTGGCCTAAAACTATTTTCTTTTTCAGAAATGAACGAATGAGAGATCATTTAAACTCTTAGAGCGGAGCCCTGCTTTATCTACAGTGTCGGATATGACCCTCCTTTTTCAGGAGAGGAATGCTGGGACATAAGAGAGATAGGAAGTTGGGGAGGTCATCAGCCACAACTGAATCTACCACTGTTCCTTTTTATTTGCATAAAAAGTGTAGCTTCCTCTGACTTACCTGCATAACTTAACCTGGTTTAACACGGTGTGTTTTAGTTGAGCCTTTGGGAGCAGACGGATGCACTCGTCTGTTTTCTTTGACTGTCTGGGCTGTAGCTCTGTGGTCCTCTGAAGTGTCCCAGGAGGTGTTGAAATTCGCTGCCAGGTGGTCATCACCACCTGTGCTGGTACTGCACTGGTTTCATCTGGAAATAGACCTCAGAGGTTGTTGATTTTACAAACCTGTGAACCAGAACCTGATGTGCTCCCTTTTATGGCTACAGCTGCAACTAACTAACCGAGTCTGTGTGGTGGTCAGTGTGGGGAAAGTAGCTCTAAAAAATTAGTTATAGTTACTAATCACTGTGTTAAAAAAGTAACAGAGATTGTGACTGAGTTACAAGATTATAAAAGTAACTAATTACCAGAAAAAGTGAGTCTTTCATCACTTTTTTTTTTCCATAAAAATATGCAAGAAAAATGGGATCTCCTCTTAATGGAACATACATCATTTACTATAAATTACTACCATACTAAAATATAAATTAATCAAAGATACTTTATTAATCCCAGAGGGAAATTAGAGTTTCAGTACACACAATTCAGAGATCAGGCATACATGGGCAAGACACATGACAAGAATTGGTGACTGTGGTCATTCGCAACCCGAGTCGCGCTACCTTAATAGAGCTAAGAGGGTTACATGAGGATTGGTTCAGGTGGAGGAAAAAAAGGCACTTCAAAGTTACCCTCCACCAGGAGGGCAGCTTTGCTATGCAAAAAAAAAAAAAACACCTCAGACAGATATGCAACAGACTTCAGACAACACAACATAAGTGTCCACTAGGAGGGGTGGTGGGTTGGGACTATCCCCACTTCAGGTCCTGCAGCCACGATAAGCAGCGCATGTCACCTCAGTGTGGATAGGGGGAGGAGCATTGAGGGTTTGAGGGTAGTAGTGACCCTGGAACGTTTCAGTGGCCTTCCCGCAGTCCCGTCCAGGCTGGGATAGGAAACACAGTTGAGTTGCCATAGCGACAGCACATTCCACATATCTTCTGAGGGGGGAGTTTTCGTTGGAGCCTTGCAGGCTCAAGGGCGCCAGATTCCGATTAGAAATTGTTTTGGGGCCAGCCAGAGATAATTTCCTCTCTGTCTTACAGATTGTTGGTCCTCAATCAATCAATCAATCAATCAAATTTTATTTCTAAAGCGCTTTTCAAACAAAGTGTTATTCAAAGTGCTTTACAAAATGACCCCAGATTCCCATAACAGGTTAAAAACATTAACAAACATATGCAATCACACGCACACACACACAGACTCACACACACACACACGAGTAAAAATTATATTAGGCTCAGTCCAGATGAGCCAAGTATGGTAACGCAAGGAAACGCCATCAGAGGAGCCGTCTGTCCCGGCAGCATCAGGTCTTCCACACTAACTCAGGGCGCTCAGTGGAGGGGGAGCATAGACCCCCACCTGTAGAGCGCCCAAGAAGCTACAGTCGACCACCGCTCCCGGGGCAGAGGGCCCCCACAGAGGAAACACTGGATTAAAATGAGTAAAAATGTAATAAAAGAGCTAATATAAATGACAACAATTAGAAAATAAGTAATAAATAAAATCATATAGACAGTAAAATAATAATTTAAATAATAAAACTGTGCTAAAATATAATCATATAGAACATGCAAAGCAAGTAATAAAATATAATCATGTAAAACGAGAAATAAAACTGTAGTAAATATTTAGATAAAAGCTAACCTAAAAAGACGGGTCTTGAGTCTTGACTTAAAAACATGAACGTTCTCTGCGGCCCGGAGGTCCTCTGGCAGCTCGTTCCAGAGGCGAGGGCCATAACACTGGAAGGACGCCTCGCCGTGAGTTTGTGTCCTGACTTTAGGGATGACCAGGAGACGCCTGCCAGAGGAGCGCAGAGTCCGCGAGGGTTCATATTGTAAAAGCAGTTCTGATAGATAAGAAGGCCCAAGACCATTAAGACACTTAAAAACCATTAGAAGAACCTTAAAATTGATCCTGAAACATACGGGGAGCCAATGCAATGATTCTAAAACTGGTGTCATGTGCTCCCGCCTCCTGGTCTTCATCAGGACACGTGCTGCCGAATTTTGTAGAAGTTGTAAGCCTGAGATGCTCTTTTTAGGAAGACCAGAAAGCAGGGCATTACAGTAGTCTATTCTACTGGTGATAAAAGCATGCATCAGCGTCTCCGTATTGGCCCGAGAGAGAATGGGGCGGACTCTGGCGATGTTCTTTAGATGATAAAAACCTATTTTTGTGATATTTTTAATGTGTGGGATAAAAGTCAGCTCAGAGTCAAAAATCACACCCAAGTTCTTCACTTGTGAAGATGGATTAAAAGACAGAGATTGTAATTTCGGTAAAAGCTTCTCTCTCTGGGCCTCAGGACCAATGACTAAAACTTCAGTTTTGTCCTGGTTGAGCTGGAGAAAGTTCTCTGCCATCCAGGATTCGATGTCTAAAATACAGTTAAAAAGTGCATCCATTGACCGAGAGTCATCCGGAGACACGGAGATGTACAACTGTGTATCATCAGCATAACTGTGAAAGTTGACCCCGTGTCTCCTGATGACTCCGCCAAGAGGGAGCATATAAAGATTAAAAAGCACTGGGCCTAAAATTGAACCCTGGGGCACACCACATGTAATCCCATGGACCCTAGAGGAACAGGTATCCAAACTCACCATGAAAGTCCTGTCTGTGAGGTAGGATGTGAACCATCTATGTACAGCACCAAAGAGGCCGATCTGTTGTAAACGAGTTAAACGAATAGTGTGGTCTACTGTATCAAAGGCAGCACTTAGATCCAGTAGAACCAACACTGTCAACTTCTGTTTATCATAATTTACTCTAAAATCATTTAAAATCTTCAGAAGGGCTGTCTCGGTGCTGTGGTTCACCCTAAAACCAGACTGAAATTTCTCTAGGACATTATTAGTGTTTATAAAATCATTTAGTTGATTTAAAACCAACTTTTCTAAAATTTTGCTTAAAATGGTAAGTTGGATACCGGTCGATAATTGTTTAATTCATTAAAATCTAAATTGCTCTTCTTCAACAGGGGCCTCACCACAGCCCTTTTAAAGGCAGCAGGAAAGACCCTCGTCTGAAGGGAGCAATTCATGAAGGTTAAAATCTCATCACTAAAAGATCCATAAAATTGTTTAAAGAACGAAGTTGGAATTGGGTCCAGAACACATGTGGTGGGTCTCACTGAGGAGAAAACTTTATCAAGAGTCTCAGCTTCTACCAGGACAAAACTGTTCAGTGTTTCCTCTGGTATAGACACACATTCAGATTTATCTAAAACCTTATTACTTATGGAGGATAAAATATTCCGTCTGATGGTGTCTACCTTCCCTCTGAAGTGGGCTGCAAACTCCTCACAGAGTGCATTTGAGGGTGTTTTCTGAAGTGAATTGGAGGTACGGTTTAAAATGTTGTTTATGGTGGAAAAAAGTATTCTGGGATTGTTTTTATTGTCTAGAATGAGTTTGGAAAGTTATGCGTGTCTTGAATTTCTCACTGCGTTATTATATGATTTAAGTAGCTCTGTATATATTTGATGATTTATAGTTGTTTTGTTCTTTCTCCATCTCCGCTCTGCAACCCTGCTCTCAAAATCCCAATAATGGACATTAAACTATCCCAATCCGTGCTGATTTGTCCACTCTTTCCTTGATGGCATCCATCTTTGTGCCAATGAATGAATCTCGGCCAAAGTCCCAATATTACGATTCATCTCGACAATTATGTGAGTCTGTAAATTCACAGCGCCGTGCAAACCATCTCTGAGCTCCTGGATCAGGCCAATATTCCTCGACAGCTTGTTAATTTTCCGGTAAGCCAGGTAGCCTCCAAGGCCAATGAGCAGGAAAGCTGACACCAATACCATGAATATCCACACGTCTTCAGAGTCCTCCACAGACAGCTGAGATAAACAAATCAAGCTCCACTGTTTCCAGGAGTCCATGATTTGTCCAACTCGTCTGTCCCGGCGGGGCGCCTGTGTAATTACACTAATTAAACTTAAACATAAGAAAATGTGTTTTCAGTTGTCTTTTATAAAACTGAATAATTGAAACAAATGAGCAACCAACAGGAGGAAGAACAAACAGGAAACATGACACTAATATAAATGATTCAAATGTCTCTGTGTGATATGAAGCAAGATATCAATCTATTAACATTTATAATTACAAATAAAACACCTGCAAAGTTTTTCTGAGCCTTTAAATGGTCCCTCGGCCTAATTTTTTGGTAGCATTTATTTTACTCATAATCTAGTAAAAGCATACGTGTCTA